TTTAACGGCCCCCTTGTTCTTTTTTTTCCCTGGCCCCCCCCGAGCCCCCCCCCCCCAGTGGAAGGATCCCAAGCGACAAGGATCCCATCGTGAAGGTGGCAGTGAGACAGATGAGTCAACACAACAAACTGGAATGCCCAGAAGTAGCGGAGGGAATTGGGGGAGGGGGCTGGAAGGTTCTCAGGAAAAGATGATGCAGGACAGGGTGAGAGGGCAAGCACCCCAGGGGACAGATGCAGAGACTGGGCAGAAGAGAGCCAGGCTATTGGGGGTAGTGGGTAAGTCCAGGCTGCTGAGTTGAGCTATGGTGAAAGAGGCCCCTGACTTTACCTTGGGCAACAGAAGCCATGAAGGGTTAGGGAAAGTACAGACCGGACCTATGTGTCAAGAGCAGCGTTGGCTGGTGTTTGAGGGAGGATGCACCAATGAATGGGAACAAGGAGGTGGAGAACAGGGAAGATGTTACATGCAAGGGAGGTGATCTGAGTGAGAAGTGTGCCACCCACTGCAGTCCTCTGCCCAGTGAGTGCTTCCTGTCTCCCAGACTCTCCTGGTGGCCCAGGGTACTATCCACCAAGGTTAACAAAGGATGGCCCCTGGGTGTCTCCACATGATGCCCACCCAGCTGTGGAGTGAACAATTGCCTTACTGTTGGGCTGGGCCCAGAAGGCAGATAAGCCATTCTCAGGGCCAAGTACGCTCTGGCCCTGCCTACAGGTTGCCAGCCTGCACACGGCCAACTCAGCAGGAAGCTGGCCAAGGCCCAGGACAATTAGTGCTCGTGACTTTGTACCCAACACACAGCATGCTCAGAGGGCCAGAGGTTGGAACAAAGATCTTGGAGGCCTTCCTGTCACCTATGCCCAACCACAGCCTAGCTCTGTGGCATCTTGGGTCTTGTGGCCCAACACTCTGCATGTTGGGGCCATGAGCCCCACCTACACCACCAGCCTGCACACTTCTCTCATGGGTCTGTCTCTACCCCAAACTTTGTCTTGACAAAGGACTCAGAAAGTCACTACTTAAATCTTGGAGTGACTCAGCCATGTGAACGGCAGGTGTGGGCTATATTACTGGCCTGCTGTGTGACTCTGGCCTGCTGTGTGCCCTCTCTAGGCTGTAGTTCTGTCTGCACAGAGGGCCTTGGTGCTGAACCCAGAGGCTCATCTACCACTGGGACTGGGCAGCAGGCAGGGGCTTGTACCAGGCCCCCCACCCTCTGCCTCCTGTTCCTAGTGGCCTCGCCCCATGGGCCTGGCCCAGATGAGGTAATGTCTCAGGTGTCTGGGCTCACGTGAGCAGAGGTGGAGAATTCCACAAAGCAGCATTGTCTCAGGTACTGGGGTGCCGAGTTGGGGATGGGCAGGCGGTGGAGGGTCCTCAAACTCTTGAGATCTCCACAGGACATGGCAGGGTATGGCAGGGCAGGGAGTGGAGGTTAGTCAGCCAGGCTGTTGTGGCCCAACATGCATGTGGAGGACACAGGGCTAGAGCACAGTGTATCCATACAACCATGACCTACCTGGCCCTGAACAGGTTGGCCTGGGCATTCTGGAGCTCTGGTCAATTTGACTTCAGATGTAGTACCAGAAAGACACTGACTGAGCCGCTGTGCACCCCAGTTTCCTACCTGCAACATGTGCCTACCCACTTGGGCCACCTGGATGCCTGAGGGCTGAGTGACTTGCAGGAAGTTGCCGAAGGAACTCTCAGTGGGGAACCTATGACCTCCCAGTGATACATGGACTGTGACACACATCTGGGATGGCCTGTACATCCAGGGAAGCAAGACCTATCAGTCACACTTGGTGGGCGGTAAAGGAGTCAATAAGGGGAGGTGGCCAGTCTGTGTCTCTCAGTGGGATGCAGCAGGTCCCACTCCTGAGCTTTGCAGGGCACAGGCACCTGTCAGCCTTGTCTGGACCAGAGGAGGCATGAGGAAATTCAAAGGTGTGTTCTGCACAGGCTTGAGCTGGGAACTCAGATGGACAAGGGGGTGGAATGCCGGGATGAGCTGGGGTGGGAGGCAGAGCTACATCTCACTCTGCATCTCTCACCCAGACTCTGTGGGCAGACAGGATATTCAAAGGGAAGTCCCTTGTGAACTGAGGCTGGGGTATGGCTGAGCCTGCCCAGCTGCAAGCCCCAGTCCCAAGGCTCCTGGCTCTTCCCTTAGGATAAATGGCATGGTGGACTAACATTGTGCTAACACTGTGATGCTCAACACCAGCCCTACGTGTACCCTGATTCATGGCCAGCCAAGTGGGGTGAGCCCCTTGACCCATGGCTACAAGCCCCTGGCATATACACCCTGATCCATCAGAGGTCCAGGCCCAACCAGAGGAGGCAGGTCATGAGCTTATTCAGGAAGGGGTGGGGGCTGGTATCCAGCCTTTATCCTCCATCACTCTCTCCTTAGCAATTCCAGCTGCAACCTGGCAGGACACAGCTAAGCATCCTCACCACATGTCTTCCCATGGCTGTCAGGTAGCTGGTGTCTCCTTGCTCAGCTGTCGGCTCAGGTGGCTGCTGGTTTTTCCAGTTTGCCTATACGGGTCAAGGAGCTTTGCACATTGGCTGGGTCTTTCACAGCCTGGCCTGACTCCCACTGGCTTTTAGCCACCTCTCAGTACTAGGATAACCCCCAAATATGACCTAGTCACTGGCTCTGGGACTCTGGGAGGGACAAAGTCAAAAGGCTAGGTGCTCTTCTCAAGGTCTGTTCCTCATTTGTAATGTGGGGATTCATTTCCTTACTGTCTACAGGGGCTAGCAAGAGAGGGTACTGGGGCAGCTGAGACTCACTCTTGGGCAGAGGCTATGTGGGGGACTGAGAGCAAGATCAGCTACAATATTAATAGCACCATTTCCAAATGGAGATGCAGGCTAAGCTACAGATGGAGGCAAGAAAGGATGGCCCCTACCAGACCACAGCTGGAAAGCAACTGGAAGCCACTTTGTACTTACAACAGAGTTGGAGGATGTTAGGAGGAATCCTGTCCCCACCTAAACAGGGCTGAGGGAACTTCCAGTTCACTCTGCCCACCACAGTCTCCTGTGCTATGCACAGCAGCCTTGCCAGTGGGAAGCATTTTCTACACGTGCTATGGAGGCCCAGAGACAGTAACTACCCATGGTTATAGTACGATGGCAGGGCTGGGGCATGGGTCTGCCATTTGGTGTCTCCCCAGCTGGCACCTGATACCCCAGGGTTATAAGACCCTACCAGACACTACCTATACCATAGGTCATGGATCCTGGGGCAGGATGAAGCAGATATAGGCCAGGGCAGTGGGTGGCCAAGGGCACCCCATTGGTTACTAGCACAGGAAGTGCTCCCAAAACAGGTCCAGATCCACCCAGACACAGGAGGGAGGCAGGGAGGTTGGCCAGCAGACAGGTCCACCACACAGTGACACCTGGCAGGGCTGTGCCCACAGGAGACTTTGACCACTTGCCCAGTGCTGTGGTAAGGCTGCTACAGAGGCAAAAAGCTGGGGTGGCTGGGCATGGTAGCACATGTATCTAATCCTAGCACTTGGGAGGCAGAGGCAGGTGAATCTCTGAACTCAAGGCCAGCTTGGTCTCCACAGCAAGTCAGGGCTATATAATAAGACCCTGTCTCAAAAAAAAAAGAAAAGAAGCTAGGAACTGAGGTCACACCTGCCTATGAAGGTGTCTGTCTCATGAGATTATGCCTTTCAGCCCTCACCACCTTCCCAAAGAGGGAAGCAACAGAGTGGAGCAGGCTGGGCCCCTGCCATGAAGGTCCCAGGCTACTTGATGGCTGGCAGTGAGGTGGGGCTAGCCTCACCCAGTCCCTGTCCTGGCCCTATACACCTGTTCCACCCTTACTACATTCACAGTCACTGTCCTATAACTTTACCTATAAGCAACCCTGGAAACCCAAGTCCCACAGTGATCAGTGGCCAGGGAGCCCATGTGGGCAGCACCACAAAATTCCAACAGACAGGTCTGTGCCATGCCTGTCAAACCAATTTCTTGCCCCTGGCTTCTAGGGGCAAGTTATGCCCATTCCCAACACCTCAGTTTCCCCATCTTTCCTGTGGGAGCCTAGTCTGAATGGCCAGAAATATCTCTGGTGGCAGGTGTACAGAGTGGGGGACCACCCTGGAGCTCCTGCTGTTGCACATAGGACAGCCATGTCCCAAGTCATCTTTTCTGAACTTCTACAAGATGGTTCTTTGCAGCATGAGCTGTCTGCCACTGGAGCCATTTCCTGGTGCTAATTATATGCCAGTGAGGTGTGAGGCTTGGGGTCAACCTACCTGGAGACCACATGAAGAAGTCTCTGAAATTAGAGACTCATAGCACAGCAGAAAACTCATGTCCACTTGAAAGGCTCTGCTTGGGGGGGTGGGGGAACTTGACAAATTACAGGTGTGGAATCTTGCCCCCGTCACCAGCCCTGTTTGATGACCTGGGATCTGTGTTCTATCACAGGCCTCCAGCCTGAGGCACCTGGCCCCTACTCCCTCACTGGCAGTGATACTGGCAGTGATACCTGGCACCTGCCATCTGCCTCATCTGCAAAATTCGAATGACAGATGCATGTCACTTAGATTGTCAGGGGGGTTAAATAAGTTGAGCCACAGAAAATGCCTTGGACAGACACATGCTATGAAAGCATCAGCTGCTTCCACAGAGTGCTCTGTACTTAGGAAAATATGCTGCACACAGTAAGCGCTAGGCAATGGCTGAGAAAGCTCCCAAATACTAGTCTAAGTGGAAGAGTCTTACCACACCAACTCATCTGCCCATCAGACCAATAAGATCCTGGAGCCCAGAGAAGAGAAGCAACAAGCTCACAGGCACATAGGAAAGCAGAGCCGAGAACCCAGGCACAGCCTTCACCCCTCAACTCTTGCCTCCCCTTTCCACAGATCTGTTCCTCTCTGTGTATGCATCCCTAGTCCATTTCAACTCTGACCGTGGCATAGGAGAGCTTCCTGTCTGACTCAGATCCTAATGCCAGTCAGCAGACCTGGTTAAGGAGGCAAATTTGGGCTTAGCCTAATTCCTGGGGGTCAGAGCTCTCCAGGTGAGGTATGAACTGCTTGCAGAGGCAGTAAGCACACCTGTCACCAGAGGTATGCAAGCAGACAGGAAACTTATGTGGCACCGGAGCTTTGAAATAACAGGTAATACAGTCCCTGACAGGAGCTCTGGCACCTGGTGGAAGGCACTAGATCTATGTTTATCTTATCTGCCAGTTGGAAGCAGTATCTTGTCCCTCAGGGCATTCCAGTGGTGTGACCAACTGACAGGAAGGTATAAGTTCACTCATCTCTGTATACCTGGGACATGGCTATGTTTGCAAGGCAATGTTTGCTGACTTGACTGAGTGATCCCCTCCCTCCGGCTGCCCTAGCAGGGGGAGGTAGGTCACCTTGAGGTGCCCCAGGTGCATGCAGGCCCGCTCACACATATGCAGGAAGTACTTGACGTTACTCTCATCCACAATGATGTACACAGCCACCTTCCTCTTGAAGCCAGCATCCAGCAGGTCCTTAAAGATGTCCACGTCAGTGAACATGTCCATGACCACAGCTATCACCTGGGGGCAGGAAGAGAACAGATGGTCAGCCAACACAGCAGTGAGAACAGCCTTCCTGCTATTCCTGTGACAGCGGATGAAAAGCCCAGCCCTGTGGTACTCTACAAGGTGGAACGTGTAAGGAAGAATATAGCTATGTCAGGAGGGTACAGAAGGCCAATGCACCAAGGTCAGGGGCAGGATCTGTGTCACAGCTCTGGTGTGTGCTGGATGGCCCCCCTAGGGCCTCCTTCCTCACTCAGGCTGGCACTCACTGGCTGGTGCTGCTGCCAGTGTGCAGGAGGGTCCAGCAAGGCCCTAAGCCTAGCTGGGGGCTCAGCTCTAGGACCTGTGCTGGTCCCCTCCTGGGTTACATTTATGACCCCAGACACATGCCTCCCCTTGACTCTTGGAGATGCTGAGCAAACCACAGCAGGAGGAGGCCAGTAGATGGTATGGCCAGCCTGGAATATCCTGAGTCCTGGGCTGCTGTGGACTTTGCCAGGACTCTGGTCTGGACCAAATAGAGCCTATACCAGCACATGTTCTTCTTGTCTCTTGCCAACACCACAGGTGACCTCATTCTCTCAGACCTAAGGGTGGGGCTGCAGAGGTCAAAGTGCATCTACACCCAGCCAACCAACTGCTTCAACTCCCTGCCTGCCCCAGCATGGGCTAGAGTAAGACTCAACCTAGTCCCCAACCCTGTCTCTCCTTCTGCTCTGTTCCTCTCTGGCTACCAGCAGAACAGGGTAGTAGTAAGGCCAGGGATGTGCCCAACTTGGGTGCCAGCTCCCTCCAGTGTTCCCTCCCTCCACTGACCCGTGCCCTAGGGCTGATGGTGCCTGGAGGAGCTTTTAAGATAGAAGTTCCACAAGTCCCTTGAGAGCTGGGGACAGTAGGGCTGGAACCCAGACCTACTAGGGGGTAGAGTTCATGAGGGTAGCCTGGCACCTCCCTGCAATGGGATCTGTACACACAGGGTGACAAGAGGATATCTGAGGCCTGCTGGGAACGTGTCTGTATGCTCACAGTGAGCTCACCAGGCTAGCCCCTGCAGGCCCATCTGGGATCCTCCCAAGTCTCTGGCCCAGCTGATGCCTGCTGATCATCTGGCACAAACCCCAAACTCCTAAGCAGGGAAGGCTCCAGGTCTGCCCTACCATGGACTTGATATGTGACCCTGGCTAAAATCCTTAAACTCTGGAAAACAGACCCAATTCAGGTAGGAGAAGCAAATACTCAGGGCAAGATTGTGAAGGACCCAGACTGAAGCAGGGCCTCAGAGATGCCACATGCTGCCTATTCCACAGGCAAACTGTTGGTGAATTCACCCGAAGTTCTCCCAGCCCGACTCCAATCTCTCACAAGCACCATGGTGAGATCCCAGTACACAGCTCAGCAGACTGAGGTTGGTGAAGTCATGAGGCAAGCCAGACAGGGCTACTGCCTGGCCTTCCCTTGGCTCTGTGATCTGTGGAACCTGACAGTGCCTGGAGTAGATGGAGAGGAGAGGGGAGGCTGAGGCCTAGGGGTCCTTGAGTCCTTAGAAGACAGCTACTCACCATCTCTGAGGGGCTGTCTGGTGGTAGAGTGGGCAGGGCTGACACTGGCAGCAATGAGCCTGGGGGCCATGTCAGTACCACATGGGAGGTGAGGCAGTGAAGCAGAGGGTCCAGAGGGCCCAGAGCTCACCACTGAGCATGTGCTCAGCAAAGGTCAGATACTGTTGGGGAGGGTAATGAGGCAGAAGAAGAGACTGTGGGTCAGGTAGGCTCCCAATGGCCTTGGCATTCAGACTGACATACCCTGGGGGTGGAGGGGAGCATACAGGGACTTCCTTGCCTGGGGTCCCACAGACTCCAAGCCACTCCAGCAGCATGTTGGTTAGGCCACTGTCGGGCAGGCAGACAACCTCACGTGCTGCCCTGGAAAGGGGCCTGACCTGGAGGTTTGCCAGCTCCTGCACCCCAGATCCGTCAGGGCTGGTTCTAGGCCATGGGCACCATGGCAGAGTGGGGATGTGTCCCAGCAGGACAGGGGATCTGATCCAGGGATCATAGGCTGCCAAGATGGACCTGTTGGGACCTATGCCCCAAGGTGGATCCCCCACATGGTCCCATGGCTGACTCTGGCTCTCTTTAGGTGTTGGGTTCTATGCCTGGGATGGTCAAAGGAGGTTTTATAACAGGTGTCAGCTCATGCTGGGAGGAGAGGGCTGCCTAGTGCTTCCTGGATTGGAAGCAACGCTGGGAAAGGAGGGGCTACCTGGTCCTGGGATCTGGCATGATGCTCGTGCTCCCGGGGTTTGCGGTGATACTGAAGGGAGGGAACTACCTGGTGTTCCTGGGACCTGTCATGGTGCTAGGAAGGGATGAGCTGTCTGGTGCTCCCAGGATTTGAGGTGTTCCTGGTGCCCTGTTATCTGAAGTGATGCTGGAGGAAGGCTGTCCAGCATTTCTCAGCAACCCCACAACTTGGCCTGTCCATGGTCAGACCACAGAAGTCTCCTGATGCCCTTGGAATCTGTTAGGCTGTACTGGCTTTGTAAATAGCAATGTGGGGATAGTCAGTGTCAGAGGCTAGGACCAGCCTGCTCCCACCTGTACCCTTCCTCCCAGCCTTGGGCTGTCTGAGGGTTTGTAGATCCTGACACCAACACCGTTATCTCTGGGAGCCTTACAACTGCTGCAACCAGCAGTTCTTCCTCCCATTTTACAAAAGAGGAAACTGAAGAACCACCACCTCCCTTAATTACCTGTTTGTATGGCCCAGCTCATTTGTGACACTGAGCTCATCAAGGGGTAGGGCCTGACTAGGCAGGTCTCGGAGCTTTTATCTATCAGTAAGACAGGTGGTGTGGCCCAAAAGCCCCTGCGACAGTCAAGGCCTGGTACTCATGACCTATCCTCCTAGGCCCTCGGTTTCCTGTCTGTAAGTCTGTAAAATGAGGTGGTAGACAAGATGTCAAGGCCTGTCCTTCCTGATGTCCTTGCTGAGACACCCACCTTTATGTGCCCTTGTGCTATGCTCATAGCTCAGCGGGACCTGTCTGGTCTGGCTGAAGCATCCTCACACATCCAGGTCAGTGGCTACTCCTTAGAGACTCCCTTAGGCTCCTGCTCTGCCAGGTGCTGATAGAGCCCACAGCTCCCACACCCACAACAGCTGTCTTCTAGCCCCTGTGCCTATAAGCAGCACTCAGTGGAGCAAAGCATCCTTATAGGACAGTGAGTGGACAGGTTTTCCCACAAGTGCCAGGGAGGAGGGGCAGATGAGCTGGCTTTTATACAGGCCCAGCCTTTGCAGGAGTACCTTTCTAGAGAGTCTCAACCCCACTGGTCTCTCTCCCCAAAAATTCCTGTCATAAGCGCTCTAGCGCTTTGTGGGCTACTTGTTGACTCTGCCCCTCTCTGGACAGCTGTCCAGGGCCCCTCAGGCCCTCAGCTCATGCTTAGAAGAAAACAACCAAGACTAGGAGGGGCCTCCTGCCCCCGCGCCCAAAAGGGACAACCAGACCTTACGTAGGACCAGAGAAGGTTCAGGTCTCCCCAGCTAGGACAGAAGCCATCCTAACGCATGGGGTCTTCAGACAGTCCTCAAAAGGACCCTGCCTAGGTAGTGGGCAAACCTTTGCAAAGGACCACACAGAAAACAGCTTAGGCTGGGTGCAGTGGAGCACATCCTTAATTCTAGCACTTAGGAGGCAGAGGCAGAGACAGAGGCAGACACAGGGGCAGATCTCTGTGAGTTTGAGGCCAGGCTGCTCTGCATAGTGAGCTCCTGGCCAGATGAACCCTACAGGGGGGGCCCTGTCTCAAAAAGACCAAAAAGAAAAGAAAACAGCTTAGGCTTCCTGTTGCAAATGTTCAGATCTGCCAGTGTGGCAGGCAAGTGGCAAGGACAACAGTGAATGTATTTGTGCGCCACAAGTGGTAGAGCTGGTGGGAGATCTGGTGTGCCTTGTGGGCCAACTCCTATCTAAGACCTGCTGTGCTCCTGCCTAACAAGGTTTAAGAGCAAGAGTTCACAGTGTTCAACTGGGGCCTAGGTAAAGCACAGTGACAGAGGCTTGTCTAGCATGCTGATTTCCTGGGTCTGGGTTCCACATCCAGACCCCCAAAAGTGGTAAACTGTTTCTAAGAAACTTCACTACAACAAAGCTCTGAAATATTTAAAGGAACATACACATACCACCAGCTACATCATAAAATTCACTGTCTGGTACTCAACAGAAATGGGAAAAGAAGGGGCTGGAACAATGGCTTAGTGGTTAAGAGCACTGACTGTTCTTGCAGAGGACCCAGGTTTGATTCCTAGCACCCACATGGTGGCCAACAACCATCTGTAACTCCAGTTCCAGAAGATCTGACGCCGCCTTCTGACATCTGTGGGCAATGCATAATATGGGTGCACTTACATACATGCAGGCAATACATTCATACACATAAAATAGACCAAGAGCTGACACAGATGTTAGAACTGGCAAAGACATGAAAATGGTGTGTTCCCACACCTTTAGTCCCAGCACTTGGGAGGCAGAGGTAGGCTGATCTCTGTGAGTTCAAAGCCAGTCTGGTCTACATGGTGACTTCCAGGCCAGCTGGGGTTACACAGTGACTTCTAGGCCAAATGGGGCTATAGGGAGGCCCTGTCTCAAAAAGATAAAAAAAAAAAAAAAAAAAAAAAAAGAAAAAGAAAAAGAAAATAGTGTGTTCCAAACGTTCAAAAACTTAAGAGATATGGAAAATTTTAAAAATCTAGTAAGAGGGCCAGGTGTGGTGGCGCATGCCTTTAATCCCAACACTTGGGAGGTAGAGGCAAGCAGATCTCTGTGAGTTCAAGGCCAGCCTGGTCTACATAGTGAGTTCCAGGATAGCTGGGGCTACAGGGAGACCCTGTCTCAAAAATACCCCAAAAAAAAAAAAAATCTAATATGATTTTTTTTCTTTTATTTTATGTAATCTGCTACTAATGCCACCCAGTATTTTGAATGAAATGAAATATATACTGGGTGGCAT